GCAACCAGACCGAGCACCAAGGTGCCCAGGTGACGCAGGAAGGGTCAGGGCCGCAAACCCGAAGGGCCGACATAATGCAGCAGAACGGTCAGACCTGGTGACATGTGAGGGTAAGACTTCCAGTCAGAACTCATACTATTCAAACTCTGGGGCTTAAATTAATTATATAGCAAAGACGCATCTGTGTATATAAAGCCTACCTGCATACGCACACAGCCGACGCCCGAAGGCAACTGCTTTGACCGAGAAAACCAATACTACCTTTGCTTTTGTTTTGCCTTGTATTTGCTTTCTTCAATCGCAGTTCTCTTCCCCATTTCCAGACTTGATTCTTAATTTAGTGTCTCATATACTGCACAGGGGCTGGCAAGGCTAAAGGAACTGGATCACGTGAAGGCTAAAATGTAATCCAGGCCCAACTTTTCAAATATCTGAAACCTGTATTTCAGGTTTATATTTGGCCATAGCATTTGGTTATGGATTAAGCTTCATCGAAAGTAAAATTTCAGAAAGGTTTCTGAAGAAGTAAGTTTCTATGACTGCTTTAGATTTTAAATACTTCCAACCTGTGGTTAAGCATTTACTACCCACCCACCATCATAACACGCGCTTTTCTTTCTATGACACAGAGGGAGCGGTGTTACCCAGAGGACTGACACTCAAGGAGTGCGCGCGCAGCTGACACGCCCATTATCTGAGTCTACACAGCCCTAGAGCAGGCTCTGCCCATGCTACACGGTACATTTTTGCCTCAGAAAGTGCTTTCAAGATCCATCTGCAGGGGGAACCAGGCCCCGTAGTTAGGGTCATGATTCAGGCATCCGTGACAAACAATGGTCTGTAGAGTGTATACTGAGAAGGTATCTTTTCTCCTATAAAGTATTTTGTGAGATTAACAATATTTACTGGCTACTGGTTCCTGCAAGATTTTTTTTTTTTTTTTTTTGTACCTGGGATCGAACTCAGGTCCTTGCTCTTGTGGGGCAGGCGGCGGAACCACTGAGCTAAATTCCGGCCCACTGCTAGATATTTTATGATGTTGAAATTACTAAATTTGCCATGAAAATATTTTGCATAGTTCCCAAGAGACTTGGCAAGCCCTAGGGTTCTGAAACACACTGATTAGAGATTATTGTTATTTAACACAATCAAGGCCACCAAGTATTTGTAAATAATGTCTAACAGTAGCTAGCAAGTGTTCCTTTGATAATTTCCTTTGGTGAAAAACTGGCAATTCCATTAACCAAAATGTCAAGCAATATCAGGGCCCAGACCTGTACACAGCGGTCCAATTCCCCATCCTAGCTGAAAGCATATGGTGCTGCCAGCGCGGACGGGGGAAGGATAAGCAGACCAGCAAGACCCTCTTGGACACAGTCACTCCTTGGATGAACTCATCCACCCACCCTCTCTGCAGAGCCGATCACTGCCTCCTGCTCTGTCTGGTCTGGCAGTGCTCTCACCTTGCTCCGTCTGCCATCTGGCTGAGCATGCTCCGTGTCCCAGTCCAGCTAACCCTCCCGACAGCCATCAGGCAGACAAGGCCCTTGTTCAGATGAGGAGCGGGAGGCGATCGCTGTTCAGCAGAGCCACGAATCTGCAGGCCTACCTCCCCGCTGAGTATGTGGAGCCCTTCAGACCATGTTTGTTTCTGTGTCTCCCAGCAGGCCCCAGGCTGCTCTTATTCAACCTCGTTCCATTCATCAAGCGCCTGCTGTGTGCTGCAGATGCCTCAAGGCTAGCACATGGCAGGTCCTCCACAGCCCACCTCTTCCAACTCCCGATGCTCAGCCAGCCCTTGGCTGTACTGACAGGCAACATCCGTCCCCACAAGCGGAAGGGAAGTGTCAAGCCCGCTGTCTGCTCAGGGGCTTGGCAGGGTTGCAGATCCAGCAGCAGCACGGTGGTGGAAAAGACTGAGAACATCACAGGGAAGAGTTCCGTTGTCCCCACAGGGGCGCTGGGCCCCAGGACCCCGGTCCTGAGAGGTGAGGAGGGTGCCTGCACCAAGCAAGGAGGGGCACAGGGCATTGTGGTGGTCCTCCTTGATTTGAAATGTAGAACTAAGCTAGAACTCTGGTAAAGAGTGAAAGGAGAAAAAATAACAGCTGTCGAATAGCAAGAGGCATCGGTATTGAGAAAAGGTATGAGAAGAACCCAGACAGCAGAGATGCAGGAGCCCAACCTCGATGTGGGGACATAGGGATGCACGCAGCCCAGACACAAACGCCCACATACCTGGCAGAGCTTGGCGTGAAATCTTAAAAGAAAGACCTGAAAGAGCTTCTCTCTTCTCTTTATCTTCAAATCTGGCCAACTTGAGATGGGGCCGCAATTCTCACCATGTGTGATGAAGGAAAGACTATTTCTCTGGACTAGGAAAGGTCCTCTTGCGTGTCCAGTTTTAACACAAAGCCCAATTCTGTGGCATGGCTGCGTCTTTTGTCACCTGTGGCTTGATGCACGTGACATTCACCTTCTGCACCACGCGTGAGTGTGCAGGCCAGCGGAATGACGCACATCACGAGGCGTGCAGCCATCCCCGCCACTCAAGCCGGAAGCTTCATTAAACAGCGTTCTCCCCTCCTTTCCTCTTGGACCTGACCACCCCTATTCTACTTCCTGTCTCTGGTTTTGACTCCTCTTGGAAATCACAGATCTTCTGAATAAAGAGGTGAGACAGCAATCGGGGTGCCTTGGCATGCACCGATGGATGTGAATCGGGTCCCAAACCCACAGTGTACTGTGGCGTAACACCACAGGCTTGGGGGCCGGCACCCACAACACCCGGCCAGAGGGAACTCGGGCCTGGCATTTGGGCCTCCTCAGAACGCAGGCTCTGGCCGCGGGCTGGGTCCTCCTCCTCGGTCTGCCGTGAGTGCAGACGGCACGCGGGACTCTCCACACGATGCCCCCGGTCCCCGTAGGTGTTCCCTCCCTCTTGGTCGCGTGGAAGTCTCTCTGTCCAGGGGCCAGGCCCACGCATCCCACCAGACTCTGCCTAATTAATGTGTGCAACAGGCCGGGCTCCCTCAGGCCTGAAACTGATGCGACTCCGTCCATCCGTCAGAGACCACGTCTTCCCCGGCCCAGCCCCACCCTCACTCGGTCTCTCCCTGCCCTGGGCGGGCAGCATCACTGCCGTAAGGCACACGCACCAGATGCCTGCGTCCGGCTCTGCTTCTTCAGCCTACACAGGATTAGAGCTGCTTAGCACTTACTTCTGTGATTCTCTGACCCAGGGACTCATTTCTGCCTCCCTATCCAAGTGCAGACTCCAGGGCTCACCAGGTTCCTGGGCACCAAGCACAGCATCAGGCCGACACCAGAAGCTTGAACGGATCTTGTAAAAATTTCTCCCCACTGGCTTACGTTTATTACAAAAGTATCATGGTGATGGTAATTAAAGGTGACAATATATTTATATGGCGGTGGTGTCCATTTGAAAATATAATCAATTGCCAATTTACTTAGTTTTTAAACATTTGCCAGTAAATGCCAGGCCACAGAACGTCTGCACCCCCAGTAGAATGTGTGCCTGAGATGCTTCCTCTGACCCATCTGGAAACACCGTAAATCCTGACAGGAACAAACTCATTAAAAGTTGGGCTGCAGCGCATCGCAGAGCTCTGTGGGCTGAAGAACGCCAGGGCCTCAGTGCCAGCTACCCTTCCTGGTGATGCAGAATCCACTGCCATTCGCTCATGTCGCTTCCTCCTGTCTGATGCCATCTCTCTCCTTGTTGGGTCAGGTAGAAAATGGAAAAATGCACAACAGAGAACATAAGGAAGTCAGGATCTAGGTGACAGGTGTGAGGGCTTGGCTGAGACTGCTTAAAAAATTAACAGAGTTCAGTAAGACGCATGGAAATCTGGGAAGTTTTGACTTCCAAGTCAGTGTCTTCAGCAAGATTACGGAGCTGCCCACCTGAAGATCCAGGTACCAGACCTGGGGTACAATTGAGGCTTCAGTCAAGTTGGTATCTCCACTGACTTCCTGAAAGGCCCCACCAAGTCCTGATGCCACTCAGCACACAGCCAGGCTGTGCCCAATTCCTGAGAAGTCTGTTTGTGCCAACACAGACATACAGCAGGGGGCAATCGTCGTCCATGCGGGAAACCGAGTCCACAGTCACTCTTGCAGTGTGAGAGTGGCAACACTCACTGGCTCGGGGAGGCTGTCCCTCTCTCGGCATGGGGCAGGGGACTTGATGGCAGGCAGATAGGACAGGCCAGTGCCACCGGCCTCCCCCCAGTGTGCACACGCCTCTGACCGCAGTCGCCCACTGTCAGCCTTCCCGTGTGACCCCGAGACACTACCTGCTGGTCGTGCTGTACCAACACCCTCATCTAGGCCAAACAGATCCTCCATGCCACGTGGCCTGATAGACACTAATGCACAGAGTATAGTGTCCGGATCTATTTTCAGACCTGAGGACAAGGATCACCCCTGGTGATTCCACAGATGCATGGCATGATACTCAGGTCTCAACTCAAGGGTGACAGTCAGGACCATGCGTCAACAGCAGCCTGGTCCTAAGCCTAAGCCTGGTCCAGCCAGCCCAGGAGGACTAAGATTGGTAATTCTACATCCTGGAGCCCTGTGGAGATGAAGGCTGGAGAAGACCTTCATTAACAAATACAGGCGATTCCTACCTCTCCCTGCCTGGGACTGCAGAAACACAACAGGAATTCCACTGACATAAAAACCAAATATTTATGATTTCTAGGTCTCAGCAGCACAACAGTTAAAGTTTAACTTCATGGTAAAATTATTTTCTGCCTCTGATGCTTTAAAATCATATCCTTCTGCTGATACCGTACTATTTTCACTCAATAAAAAGTTAAATTAATATACAAATAATTGCATGCTGGGAAGAATGGAGGCACCAGTACTAATTCTGTCTTCAGTACACTATGAATAAGAACTAAACTGCCAAAAATTACTACCTTGGAGAAGAAACCAGTGTTGTTAATAATTATTGCCACTGAAAGAGAAAATTCCAGGGTGGATATCTGTATTTATTCCAAATTGTCTTTGTGAGTCATTAAGTCTTGCTCATGTGAATATGGGATATTGTAGAAAGTAACTGAAGTTTCACGTTCTGCCAACATGTTTTAGCTCACAGTCACAGAAATGCAGATACTGGATACCGTGCTTTAGGGTGACTAATGCTTAGGGATGGCAAAGCCTCACAATTGTCCGTTGTATTTTTACTGGCATTTTATGCTCAAAGGCCTGTAAGTGCCAGTGCTGCTTTGTGGTGGGAAGTGGAAAGCATGCATTTATTAGAATTCCACTACTGGCTTGTGGTCAACAGATGCCACATGAATCATTCACAGGTATAACGTGTAAACTGCACACAGTGGAGTCACAGCCAGGGTCTCATGCATGCAGCCAGCACCAGGTGTTCGTCAGGAACGAGGGAATCCACTCGAGGTCAGTGTGCTGCTGCAGTGTCCTTGGAACTGGAAGGAGCCTCTTCCCTTTGTGCAGCACAGATGCCCTGAACCTTCTCCAGGAGGAATTTTTAAGATGTTTTCTCAGCTTTCCATTTGACGCCTGCTCCAAATCATAAACAGAACACAACACAATGGTCTATGCTGCCCCCACATTCCCCAGCTATCAACTCCACGGTTCTGTCTGTAAAGGCTGGAATGTACCATCCCGAACGTGCCACTCCGCCACAGGATTGCTGAGCTGCGGGCAAATCAAAGGGGACAGGCGCACACACTCTCTGCCGCCTCCATGTGCCTGGAATCGGGACCTAAGTAACCAAGGCTGACGGTGCCCCACGGTCCTCTGTAGCAGGAGAGCAGAGACCGCGTGCAGGAGGGCGCTGGCCTCACGGACCTGGTGAGGCACACGAGGCTGGCCTTAGCGAGCGGTGTCCACCAGCCTCGGCCTTCCTGGCCGTCTGCCATGTACACACCACACATACGTTAGTAACGTCTGTCTGTCTATGGCTGATTGTTGTGGTTTTGATTTTGATTTATATTTGTTACTGTGGCCTGTTACATCTAAACTCTGAGGACTATAGCTATAAATCCTCCTTGATAACCCTGCGGAGAAGAGAAAGCACAGGTGCAGAGCTCTGACAAGCTCAGTGCTGTCACCTGCCCAGGGCAGCTTAGGAAATCGAGCTGCAGCGACTGTGAAGCCAGTGAGCCCGGCCCCAGGGCCTCCGCCCTTCTCTGACTTACTGCTCCTTGCTCCATCCCTAAATTCTCCACCGTCTTGGCAGAAGAGAGCTGGTGGGCTCTTCCCACACAGTGACTCTCAGCCTCTAAGGCCCCAGCTCCCCAAAGCTAGGGATGCTGCTCCCCCCTCTGAGGCAGTGGAAGCCCTGGAGGAGCTGAGGGCCAGGGTCTCCTGCAGAGGCGGCTGCACCCGAGCACCAATCCCGGCATCCCTGCACAGGCCACCAGCCCGTTCAGCCAGGGGGATCCCCATGCACGAGCAGACCTCGCTGGTCTCCATCCACGTCCTTTCCCCGCACCAGGGACAAAGCTACAGCCCAAAGGACGAGCGGCCAGCCCTGCCCCTAGGTCCCTTCCTGCCTCCAAATTATTTTCCAGCAGACTGACAGGCAATTTTATTCCTTTTTAGTCACTCAGTTCCCAATAAAAATGTAGAGTTTTAATACAGCAACAGCAACAGGTTTAGACACAAGAATCACTGACATTTCGTGGAGGATGACAGGTGTCAGGTGATGCCTGAGCTTCTAACATGTTTTCATAATGTTGGCTGACCCACACAGCAACCCCGAAATAGGTGGCGTTATTATAACTATTTGACACAGGGGCAAACTGAAGCTCTGGGAAATTCAGTTTCTTGTCCAAGGTCACACAGCAAATGGTGCTCTGTGGCGTGAACCCCGGGAGATGGGAGCTCAGCTCTCAAGGGTGTAAGTCACACGCTTGCTACCCTGCTCTTGAATGGCTTTATCCAACCCCTCGGGAAAGTCCCCCGGGAAAGGTCGGGAGAGGAGAGCCAGCCCCAACACCTGCCTTCGCAGTCAGGCCCTCAACAAGGTGGCGCCTGCTCAAGCGGCAGACCTCGGGAGCCCCTCTGGTCCCTGTGCTCCGACCTCCCCTTCGCCGCCTCCTTCTGGCTGAGCTGGGGCACATCAGGAAGCCACTTCACATCCTTCCCGCCGTCAGGCCTGAGCAGAAAGGAACAGAGCAGTCATCCTCCGGGCAGGGAGTCTGCCCTTGGCATTTCCCCTCCATATTCAAGCACCAATTTAGCATCTTCTGAGAAAAACTCAAGGAAACTTGCCTGCAAAATATGCGTGGGAAACGTGGTCCTTGATTTCAACCTGGACACTATGTCCTGAGATGTTTTTTTAAAACCTGACTTCCTTCCAGGAATCAGCTTGAACAGGTCTGTCGGATAAACAGTGTAGATTCAAACAGGCGTTGAGGAACCGTCTGTGTGCTCAGCCGTGAAGGAGGAGAGGAAGCTCTGCGGCCGGGAGCCTGTGAAGCCCCACAGAGGAGGGCACTAAAGAGCAGTCGCCGCCAGTCACACAGCGGAGCCGCCAGGAGACCGTGCGGCCGGTTTGCGGAAGGGAGATGCAGCGCTGCCCTCATCAGGGGCCCGTCAGCGTGCGGAACGCCCACTCCACTCCACTGTAACTTTGCCGAAGGAAACACAGCACAGCGGTGCCCGCGGCACTGTCTGATTTGTTCGCTAGTCCTACTAGTTTAGCTGTGAGAGCAGTGCTCCCCCTGCACTGGGGAACTGAACACAGGGCCTCACACTCCCGCAGAGCTACACTCAGTCCCCCCCCTTCAAATTCCGAGGTGGGGTCTCAGAAAACTTGCCAGGCCAGTCCTCCACTGGGGATCCTCCTGCCTCAGCCTTCTGAGCAGCTGGAAACAAAAGCTTGCACCATCAAGCCCGGCAAGTGCTGTCTCTGATAAAGCTCCTTTTCAAAGCTATATGGATTTCTTAAAGTTCTGTTTGATGGAGGAGGAGGAAACTAAATGCTATGATTAGGGAACAAAGGAAAAAGAAAGATCTTGTAGTCATCCGTTTTCTGCATGCTATTAATAAACTACGCCTCCTTAAGCAACTTTAAACCACTGCTTTCTTACCTGGGTTTGCGATTTTACAAGCGAATCCCAGGAATAAGTAAGTGCTCACAGAGAACTGACCCCCACTTCCGGTATGGTGGTCGTGCAGGCGCTGAGAGGGTGGCGGGGCAGAGACACCGAGCAGAAGGGGCTGTGGGCGGGGACAGGCCCGCGGGCTCCGCTTCTCCCTCATTCCCAGAGCACGTGGCTCTTCCGCTGCTCCCGGCAGCCCAGCCCGGCGGGCGGCAGGACAGCTAGTCATCACCACCCCGCCGGTCCCCTTGCTCTGCTGCGGGGCCCGCCCGGAGATGGGAGCGGCGGAGGGTGGTGGCTCCGCGCGCAGGGGCAGCTGCGCCTCTGTGCAGTGCCCAGGAAGCAGACTCCTTCCGGCGTCCCTGCCCCCGCGTCCTAAACTCGGTTGGCCCGCTCCCACTCCCGGGGGAAGGAGCACAGGAGCCAACCGGCTCTCAAGGCTCGGCGGCCGGTGCGCGGTGGGGCAGCTCCAGCAGGAGGAACACCCCAGCGGGGAAGTCACAGCTCTGCTGTCAGCTGCTCAATCCATGATGCGCACACAATATCCAACCACACTCAACTGTTTAATTCTCAAACTTTCCCTCCTCCACACACCCTGCTTGCTATTTTAGTAGACTTTGGAATACCACACACTAAAATCCACTAAGTTTTCTTAAGCCAAAAATCTTGCCACATATTTTACTGACAGTAACAAGGAGAAAAATTAGTTTTCCATAAGCTGGTAAAGATGGAAGCATCAACCAATGACTTCAAAATATGTGGTGCAGGACATCTGATGACACAGAGGAGCTCAGCTAACCCACTCTCCAAAGAGCAGTGATAGAACGAACTCAAAACAACTGCCAAAAACAGCTCTCCAAGGACTCTGGGCCTAGGTGAATGGCACATAATAAAGTGCAAGCAAACTTAGTTAACTAAAACTGCTGAAGCTCTGTGGGAGCCGGTGGTGCTTTAGCTCAGAGCTGCTGCCATTCTCCTACCGACCCGACCATGTCACTGCCCTCTCAGAAGCTGGTCTGACCCGAGCACGGTGCAGCCAGCCTTGTGCTGCTGGGTGTTGCCAGACCCTCAGCGATTCCAGAGCAAAGGGGTGAGAGACACCGGGGTTGCGGTCCCACAGGACAAGTCAGAAATGTAACCATGAGATGTAGGCAAGGAGACAGTGATGAATCAGCTCTCTGTGTCCCAGGACACTGCATGAGAGGCTGGAAGGCCCACACTCTTCTGTCAGCCCAGAATTCAATGCCCAGCAAAACTCTCCTGTAGAATGAGAGCAAAACGAAGGTGCATCCAGGTAACAGAGCAGGAGAATTCACAAACACTGCCCAGCTCATTCTCCAAGGTCAGTTACTGTCCTCATACCCGAGTTACACAGATATGTCATCATTACAGAACACTACAGTATCCCTCATGAATGCAGACAAAAACTCTTTCACAAATATCATAAACCAAACCCAGGAACCCAGAAAAAGAATTACATGCCACAATTAAGTGGGATTCATAATGTTTGTAAATCAATTGGTGCAACACACCATATTAGTTTTAAAAGGGACAAAAACCATATTTCAATCGACTCAGAAAAAGTATTTTACAAAATACTACATTTATTCACGACAGAAGTCCTCAACAATCTAGGAATGAAAAGGAATTTCCTCGTAGCAGTATTATTCACAAGAGCTGAAGAGTGGAAATAATCCATTCAGTAAATGGATTAAAAACAAGGCACAGCCATACGACAGACTACCACACAGCAATGAAAGAGAACAAATGACTCACGCTACACATGGACGGACTCAAAACATTATGGGAATGAAAGAAGCCACGTGCAAAAGGCGACCTAGTGTATAATTCTGCATACAGGAAATGTCCAGAAAAGATAAACACATAGAGAAAAGAAGCAGGTAAGTGGCTGCCCAGGCCTGGGGTGGGGGAAAAGACTGAATGCAAATAGTCACAAGGCATCTTTTGAGGACAACATAAATATTCTAAACTGGGTTGGGCGATGACAGCACAATTCTATAACATTACTCAAGTTCACTGAATTGTGCAGTCAAAATGGACTAATTGTATGGCATGTACATTACACCATAATGAAGTTGCTTAAAAAGAAAAAAAATCACAGTGACCAAAGAGAGACAGTTTTTTAAAAGACGATGAAAACCTTTCCCAGATCATGAGAGAAGTGTTCGTTGGAGGCAGAGACAGAGTCGGCGAACTGTGACCCCTATCCTAGATCAAAACAGTCCACCCTCTATTTTTGTATGGCTAAGGGGCTGAGATGATTTTTTACATAATTTGATAGTTGAAGGAACAGGAACAGAAAAACACACAGAGAGAATAATATCTGATGATGTTTGGACATTACATAACATTCAAAGTCTAAAGGCCGTAAAGTTTACTGAAACGCAGCTACAGCACTGGTCGACGTGCAATCCCTGGCCGCTTTTGTATAGTACTAGTCTTTCCAACCGAGCTGACTGCCCCCAAGAACAGTGATATTTACTGCCTGCCCCTTTCAAAAGAAAGCCAATACTTGTTCTCAAGCAGTGCTTCTTTATTCTGAATGAACATTAAACTCACTTGGAAGCTTACAAAAGTGCTCCCAACTGAATTCCATCAACTCTCCCCTTGGCACCACCAGTCACTTGACAATCTTGGGACAGCGTAGATTTATTAAAAGTCAGAAAAGCAAAGTGTGTAGTCAGGAACAAGGATCGTTGTTTTAGATGTTCCATGGAGCTAAGCCAGAGGACTTGAGTTTTATTTCAATAGCCCACATCACATCAAGGTTTGAAAATTAGTAAACAACACCAACTTAGGTGGCAGACGAAACAGGAAGAAACTACTTTGTGTTCTGTCTCCTGAAGAGAAAGTGACCAGTGCTGGGGCTCAGTGTTTCCAAAACACATCACCTGAGTTTCTCACAATGATAAGCACCACGTGCTCAAAGCACCTAGGTGGGTTTCTGCTACGAGCACTGGACCTAAAAACCAGACTGTAACTGGAAATAACACAGAATGCCAAGGGTCTGACTCCGCTACTGCTCTTGCTTATTCTAAGCTTATGCATCACGCAGCCCAACACACTCAGTAACTATTGGCGAAACAAGTGAAAGAAGCTGACAGGTAACAGGGTAGGTGAAGGGTGGCCGCCAGGCCTGAGCAGCTCGGGCACTCTCTAGGGCTAACCCGAGCCTGACCCTAAGCCCGTGCAGCGCCTGCTCCTGCTCCACATGCACCGTGCTTCAAATGTCAGGATGTAATGGGTCAGGCGTAATGGGCCCAGTCTTCCAGGTGTCTTAGAGAGATCAGACACAAAAATAAAAAAGGCTACATGACACGGAGGCAGCAGAGACCTTGGGAGAGACCCGCTCAACTGTGGCAGGGAAGAGATGAAAAGCCGGGCAGAATCAGATGCAGAAAAGGATCCGAGATGGAAAGTATAGTTCTCTAAAACACAAAACATGTATGCACTATAGAAAGGTCAAGCTCAGGACAGAATTAACTTAAAAGGAATCAAATATATACATGAAAAGCAATTGAAAATGTAATTGTGAATAACCTCGATAAAGAAGTAGGGGGAAGACATCTTAAGTTACCAATGCACTATGTGGAAAATTCTTATTCCTTCATGCATCCATTCATTCACACAAATGAACATGGGAAACTTACACAGGTGAAGTGCTGAGCTGCTCTGAGACCATGTATTTAAAAGAACAAAGTATATATTTTTAACAATAAAAGAATGTAAAAATTAAATGGTACAGATTTACAGAAAGGGTCAGAATTATCTAAGACATCCAAATGAAATGGTGTCTGAAATTGTGTTACAGGGCAACAGAAGAATCAGGTGACCTTGTGCGAGGCAGGTGGTATAAGGGTGGCTAACAGATGTTAGTTAAGATCACACCTGTTCAACATCTTCCTTTCCTTCCATCTTCTTGATGGAAGAGACTGGTTTCCAGCTAAATAAGCTGGAACCCAAGACAAAAGAGAAAGCACACTAGTGCGCTCTCCTGACTTCACATCGCCAGGTGAGCTAAGTCCATCCCACCTCGCAGAGACTGACATCATTCCACTTTCCAGCAGAGATGGAAGTGAATTCTGCTGAAATACAAAGCTTGAGAGCTATACCTGATGACATTCTGAAAGGCAGGCAATGAAACAGGGGCTTAATTGAGCATTTGGGGGACCAGGTGGGTCCCATGGAGTTAGGGACCACTGATAGACCATGATCTCCATGGCATATTGTGACAGAAGTTACTCAGATACAGCATCTTCATTCCACGCAACACGTGAGACGTGGTTTTCTCATCATGGTATCAGAGAACTGAAGTCCGCAACACTGAATATATTATACCCAATATTACACAGGAAGTAGCTGAGCAACAAGTCAGGATCAACTTACACTCAACTGATCTCCGCTCTGGTAGGACAGGGATTAGCCTGATAACATCTGAGCAAATGTCTAGCCTGGGTGCCGACAGGCTGATGGAAAACTGACCGTCACAGTGCTGGGGATGGCAGGAAGGAGAGGCCCTTTAGAGAGCCGGTGTCGTGGGCAGAGTTAGGTGGCTTCGATGCTGCTTTGTGTCTCCAGTCACGAGCAGGTACATGGAGAAGTGGTGCCAGGGAAGCATGATGCACACTCACATTTCAGTCTAGGCCCCAGCTGGGCTCATTGCTCAGGCGAGGGAATATGTACTATACTCAGAAAGCATCTTGTTAATCTGACTTTGTGAAGAGATTAGAAATTAATTTGAATTATATCTTGCGTACTTTGACACATTTGCCACTATTAAATAGCAAAGTATTCTAAGGGCTGTGTTAATATTAAATTATTCTTATACAAATATAACTGATGGATGTTATTTCTAATCAGAATTGATTTGCCAATATCTTAAAATTAGATAGCTACATTTATAACTGCAATGGATTTATATTTTCTGTGTTCTTTGTCAAGTTGAATATTAGGAATACAAAGCCTTCACTGAAGAATTAGAATCCTCCTCTCTCTTTTTAAATTCCCCGCTCCATGTCACACAACACAGCGTTTTATGTTCTCTGAGGATCCAGCTCTGAGATGGGCTGTGGGAAACCACTGACCCTTGGGAGCCCACTATTCAAAAGATTTGAGTTTTCCTGTTGACTGATCACCCTTTTAGATGATCTGTCATATTTTCAGTTAATTTTTCCTCCAAATATTTGTAGTTTTTGGAAATTCATCCATTAAATTAATTTTAACATTTATTTTCACAGAATGAATGGCTTCACTTGGGCAGCCCTCCAATCCTGCTGCCCAGCCCAGTGAAATTGTCACCCCATGTGCATGTGCGTGCATGTGCATGTGCGTGTGTGTGTGTGTGTGTGTGTGTGTGTGAGCTCTCGCAGTGATTAGCATGTGCAGCCAACACCGAGAACCACCGGTTTGCAGCCATGTCCCTAAAACTCTGGACCATGCAGGAATCACCGAGGGCCTTGTTAAAATGCAGGCTCTGGGGGATCCAAAGGGGGCTGGCACGCTTCTCCTCAGCCTCAGGAGCCCTGTGCTGCAGGTCTGGGCTCCAGCATCCAGGGTGTAGATGGGCTTCCTCCTGGAATCTCCTTGGTATCGAGAATGCCCTTCTCATTCTCAATTCTCATGCTCTATACCTGCTCTTTTTCCTTCTTTGCGTAGTCTTTGGGGAGTTGGTTGGTCTTGTTTTACTTTGGACTGTTGCTTTCAGAAATTTATTCCTTTGATATTTTTCAGGAAACAAGCTAGCTTGCACCATTTTGATAATTCAATGTTTTTTCCTTAAATAATCAACTTTCTGCCTGAACAGGACCAATGACGGGGCTCAGCCTAGGTATGGGGGAGCACTGTCCTCCCTCCCTTAGGGACCAGGGAGTGGAGAGGTCTTCCCTGTCTGCCCCCCTGGCCCAGCTTAGGCGCTGATCCTATCCTGACCTACCTGCAAGGTCAGCCTAGCCTAGTGCATGTCAGCACAAGCCCTTGGCCCGCTGTGTCTCTTTGCGTGGTATTTAACTAGTTTCTTGAAAGCAGAATCCAAGGCATTTCTAACTGGAGAATGCTGTTCACATCTTTAAAAGCCTCCTTTTGAATGTCCATTCCCTCGATCTGCCCTTGCTACTGGTAGCACCACCCAGCCTTGAGTCCTGGGGATGGAGCCAGGGCCTCGCGCATGCTGAGAAGGCTCTGCCACGAGCTGCACCCCAGCTCACCCCAGCCTTCCTGAGTGGGAGTCACATCGGTATTAGTTTCCTGCTGCTACCTAGCACATCGCCAGACTCTGCAGTGACATAAATGTATGCCTGCATTCGTCACTTCCCAGTTTCCAGGAGCGGGGGAGGCACATCTTAGCTGGGCCTCTGAAGCCAGGGCACTGTGACCTGGGAACTCACAGGCAAGGCTCCCACCGTGTGCTGGCTGTCGTCCTGGCCTCTGTGCTGGGCTGCACACAGCCCCTCTGCTCAGCAAGGAAGAAGCCCTGCAGTCTCTGACTTCCCCAGCAGTGACAGGAAGCTCTGCTTTCAGAGGGATTGGGGTACCCGGATGGGGTCCCCTTATATAGCTGGCTACATAGCACACAGAGCCAGGGGACAGACATCAGAACACACCTAGGGGACCTGTCTTAGAGACACCAGAACTGTACCGCAGCAGGGCCCCTGCCCTACAAATCAACATCTGATAGGAATCAATTAATAGGGCCCCGAGGATCTTACTTTATTGATAGTAACAGAAATCCCACATGGCATTTTCCTACTGCCTAGACATTCAAGAGACCTTCTGGTGACCCGGGGCCAGCAAAGGTAAGTCAGAGACGATGCCAGAGAGCCCACAGTGCATCTAGGCAATATAAGGAAGCGGGTAGAAAAGCAGTTATCAAAGTTTTAGCCCTTGGAAGTGGAAGCACAACACACAGAGTCACAGTGCCCAAGCCCTGGGCTGGTGTCACTACAGTTTCCTTCCACACTATGAGATATTTGCTTCCCCTGAAACCCTGAGACCCGCACTAAAACCAGGGCCATGGCATGCAATAAAAATGGGAAGCAACAGCAGGGCCTGCATTTCCTCTTTAGACGGGGCCATCATAGCACTTTATTAATATTAAATAGAAGGGGAGGTTATGAAAATGTAGGTGTGTTGTCATAAATTATGATTGGTCCATGTACAGAGCATTGTCTTTACCCTTAGGAATTTTTCAAAGAAGGGAAAAGAGAGAATGTTGTCATACATTATGATGGCAGTCAAGCAATTGTGTTCCAACATTTAAAGGAGCTATGGATCTTCTGAGTGAGGGGAGATTGTCCGGGCCATAAAGAGCACCTGTCTCTCTGGACCTGGTCTCCTGCATGGCACTGAGCCCAAGAACACAAGATCCAGGTTGTGGGACAGAGTCACTCCCAGCACCCCCTTACTGTGGCCAAGATGGAAACTTCCAGAACAAACAGGGTCTTAGTCATCTTTTAAAACTCCTTTCATTAAAGTCTTTAATCAAAATTAGCCTTTGTTGATTACATTAATAATATATCTAAAATACAAGGAAAACTGGCTAATTCCCATTCCTATGAAATCCACCAAGTGGGGGTGGCAGGCCTAAACCATCAGTGTGGATTCTTAGGAGCTGTACAACTCAGGGTTTCAGCGAGATTCATGGAGGAACGTTTTGGCTCCTGCTCGAGGTTCCAAGACCCTTCTGCTGCCTGAAGCTGGCAGTGGTCCTGTCTGCCTTCTGCTGAGGACAGGGCCCTCTCATGACCCTGGCCTGTGTGGACACTGCTTCCTATCCTGGTGAGGGGCACATGGGAGGTACCAAGTCTATGGGACGGAGGCTGTCAGGGCTTCTGCAGAACTCAGCTCTGTTTGCTTAATCAGAGATAAACATGGAGCCCTTGCCAGGCTGCGTTCGCCACACACAGCTCAACAAGGGCGTGTGCACTTGGACACCGTCCACATGGCTCAGCATGGGGCTCTGGGGGATCAACATGCACCAGAGGGAGCCCATAGTCCTCGGGTACCAGGCTGCCTGCAAACTAACCCGGAGGGATCACATTTGCCTGAGAAAGTTT